GTTCAGGTTTGAAATTAGAGCTTAGTTGTATCTTTTGTCCTATAACATTAGGTTAGGCTTAACATGGGTCATTGTTATTTTAGGATTGCCTGTAATTCATCTTCCTGTATATCGTAAACTAGATTAACTGTATTTTCTTACCTTCAAAACAACACATCTGAGACTTATGTTATTGTCAATACACACTTAGTTTTATAATATAATGTCTATTTTATTTTTGTTATTATTTATCTTTTATACTTCTTCATATTAACTTTGTTTGCGTGGATTCCTGGAGCTGGGGTCTGCACAAACTTCTCCCTATATTGTACGTATTATTTTTAGGTTAGGGTTTTTAAATTAGTCCTTAGTGATATATTTTGTCCTGCAAAGTCTGTTATTTTCAGTTTACCTGTTGTCCATCTTATGGGTAAATCAATAATTAGGTAAAATATCTTGTTTTTTCCACACATAATCTCTTATTCATATGTTTATTTTAATACACATTTACTTAAATTTACATTATATTGACTACTTCATTTTTGTAATTCTTTATAATTTATGCTTCTGACAATTAATTTTATTTGTGAGGAACCCTGGGGGCTACCTTACCTTCTCTCGATATTGCTAGCCTTCCTTGTACAGCTGCCGAACCTGTTTAGGAAGACCTAAATTTTGTCAGTTTTCCTCCATCTGATTATGGCTTGCCTTCCCATGCTTGTACTGCAGAATCTGTTAGGCCTACCTCAGCTCTTTTTAAACATGTTTCACAGTATAATTTTCCCCTTCTTTTCCAGATATGTTTCATAAGGAGTATTTTTGTCTCTTTTGGGAGAGGATACTTGTATGTCTCCTCTTCCACAGGCTTTGCTTCAGTTTGCCTTAACTTACCATCAGGCAAATTTTCTTCTTGATTTTATGTACTAAGAATCTATGTTGCCTGTATGAGAGGCAGTCTCTGTTAATCCTATCCATTGTATCCCACACCTATTTTTCCAGCTTCATTTTACCCTATCAACTCTTCTATACGAAATGTCTACCTTACACTTCTTTCTTAGGTGTTCCACTTATATCTAGGGGTTTTTGTGGGATACTGTTTCCTCATTCCCTCCATGTTGGGGCATTTGCCATCTTCAGATCTTTTCCTCCACACATGGCTTTTAGGATCTTCTGGATTGGAACACTGTCTATTACTGTTTACCATCCACTTCTAATAGAGACTTATGGTTGGCTCTCTTTCTCCACCGGTCCATTTTTTTGGAGCTTCTTCTATGCTCTTAGTATAACGTGGGATATCTGTGATGCTATATATATATATATATTATTTTTTTATTTTTTTGTTGCACTTTTGTTGCATTCTGAGTCATTGCCATCTTTATTCATGTTCCATGTCTGGCACCTTCCCATCCTACCTACATTCATCATGTATGCTCATTTCAACAGTCTTCTTCTCAAGGTAATTTTGATCATCCATTACGTTGGGTGATATATTGTTTTCTTGGCTGTTTTGGTTTGATATGTTCTATTTGCTCTGGATCAGTTTTACTAACATACAGTTTGGGAGCTCATGTGGAATATCCTTTGCATCATTTTCATTTCTTGCTATCTTCCATCTTTATTCTCGGTCGGATCTGGATGACCTTTTCTGTCCCATACATGCTCTGGGTTGCTTCATTGCTTTCAAGACTCCATTTCCCACAGTTTCATTCCCTTGCACCATTCTTTGTTCATGATTCTTCCCTTCCTCCCTTACCCATTGGGTTTGGCTTGTGATTCAATTGGCCTTTTATTCCTTGTCTCCTTCCCATAATCAATTCCTGATGTCTTCACTTCATTCAGGCACTTTACCTTTTACCTGCATCTCAATCCCATCATCTGTTAAAGGTACCTCATCTGTGAAGCACTTGGACTGCAACTCCTACATTCATCTCCCTTTATTTGATTTGAGTAGCTATTTCTTCCTCATCAGGGTACCACCTTCCACCTGTTGCCATCCTTCACTCTTTGGTAAGACTGTAACTAGGTAAGTTTTCTATATTTTGTTATATATATATATATATTATTTTTTTTTTTTTCCGGGGCCATTCCCATGTTTTGACCAGGATTCTGTCTGTGGCAAGTGGTGCCTGTCCAGATATACTTCAGTCACTTAGAATTGTACTAAAACCTGCACTGTAAGGCCATGTTGACTTCACTTTCATGATTTCCATGGCCACAAAATACACACTGTTCATTACAATCACATAAACTAGAGATGGGGTATTCCACAAGATCACTCGTCTGGTCTGTTTGATTTGAGTGGGATATATACGTATGTTATTTCACTCTTCTCACATGTGACCTATTCACAGGTTGGTGATATCCTGATATCTTTGCTTCATAAATATGCCTGTTTTGGACTTCATGGGTAAAGCAGAAGGATATTGCTGCCCATTCCTGCCATTCCTTAGATTGAATAAATCAGGTTTGGTCTGCTTTTCAAAATAGGATTTTTTGGTCACTCATTACACTGTCTCTGGTGGGAACATTCCTTTGGACTCTTCATAGCAGCTGTCTCCCCCCATCCCTGGTTCCAGAGAGCCCTTACCACTTTTCAGTTCCAAGCTGCTGGGAATGTGGACCATGGAGGAATCCTTCTGAATGCGAGGTAGACAATAAAAACAATAAAGACTCATTTCAGTTGATAGTAGGGTGGTGGTATTTTGCTGGTGTAGATGACAAGATGTTCTCCAAATGGGCACTCTATCTTTTCACAGATTTGTCCGAGGGGATGTTGTAGCTTTGTGCTGTCATAATGATTGGGATCCCTCATCCTATCCCTGCATGAAAATCAGTTTCCAGTGGTTGAGTTTTGGGTTTAGAGCTGAACCAATCAACATACTGTCCACACTCACATTGTGCCAATTTGGATCCTTC